TAAGCATTTCGCAGGGTGTACTTTGGCTTTTTTTCCCAACTTAGAACTGCGTCGGAAATCCACCTATAAGAAGCCGGAAAAGTAGGGCGGAAAGTTCTGCACCCAACATAAAGTAGGGCGGACATCCACAGAAGTAGGGCGGAAACAGCAACAGAGAAGTAGGGCGGAAATTGGCATCAGCGGGGCCTGAAAAATAAGGCGGAAATTTCAAGCCCTACTTACGAATTTCCCCAAAGTAGGGCGGATCCGGAGTCAGGGCAAGGGGTGGGGGATGACAAGCTACAGGTGCGCTCGCGTCACATCTGACGTCCTACCCCTTTCTCCCATCCCCTACCACGGCGTAGATCTCCTTTCTATTCGCACAATCGGATGTCGAGCAGGGCCATGGTCCCGAGAGGGTGCGCGATGCATCGTATGGTGCCCGATAGTCACCTCGGGTGCGCACGACGTCTGGGGGCGGCCAAAAAGGGGGACGACTAGGGGTGGGTGGGTATCATGGCGGGGGCCAACAGCTTGGCATCGCTCGGACGTGTGCGTTTGTTCTCGGCGAAGGCCCTCGAGGAACATCTTGGATCCTCTTGCGAGAGCAAGCGCACGACATCGCAAAGTGCACGGGGAATGGACGTCCGAGCGATAGCGGCAGCGAGTAATACCTCCCAGATCTCATAGCCTTCTCTGCTTCTTATCTCCATGCATTCCGTGGTCCCCCCCTGAGCCGCGCACGTGCCTCGGACCATGGTTTGCGGCCCCCCCTTTTGGGACGCCCCCCTCCTTGGACGCCCCCCGATAAAAAGAGCACATTCGGAACGAGGCATGAGATCGAGGTCGGTTCGGAGAGGGTACCCTATCGTTCTTCGTGCTTGTTGGATGTTTTTGTGCATCTTGCGGAGGGCACCATCGAACGCGCCCCAGTTTCCGAGGCGGGCTACATGACCACCGCCCGGAGGGTCCGTTTTCGGAGCCTCGGCAGGCGGTGGATATGGACATGTTCGGGCCCCCGGGGGCCGAAGTATGTCCATGTCCACCGCCCGCTGGGACACCAGGACGTCGGCTCCCAGGCGGTGGATATCCCTGACTCCGGATCCGCCCTACTTTGGGGAAATTCGTAAGTAGGGCTTGGAATTTCCGCCTTACTTTTCAGGCCCCGCTGATGCCAATTTCCGCCCTGCTTTTCTGTTGCTGTTTCCGCCCTGCTTCTGTGGATTTCCGCCCTACTTTATGCTGGGTGCAGACATTTCTGCCCTATTTTTCCGGCTTCTTATAGGCGGATTTCCGACGCAAGTTTTTGTTGGGGAAAAAGCCAAAGCAGGGCGGATCTGGCGTCTAGGGATGGGTCAACCCCCGCCTCGCAAGTTTGGGCTGGCGGAGGGTCTCGTTGATGGGCTTGTTTTCCACCACCACCACCATAAGTTGGAGGGGGAGGGGGTCCTCCTCCTCCTCCTCTCCTCCTCCTCCTCCTCCTCCTCCTCCTTCCCCCCATCCAACTTATGGTGGTGGTGGTGGAAAACAGGCCCATCACTCGTGCTCTTGAAGGCTGCTCTTCCTGTCCTGGGGCCGATGCTGCCAATGACAACAGCCGCCGTCGGGCGCCCGTCGGCGTGCTCTGGGGAGCCGGCCGGGAGGGGAGAGAGCGGGCCTCCTCGTCGCCACGGCTGGACGCGGCTCGAACAATGGGTCAGTCTCGACCTGGTGGAGGAGGAGGAGGACGAGGAGGAGGAGGAGGAGGAGGAGGAGGAGGACGAGGAGGAGGAGGAGGAGGAGGAGGAGGAGGAGAAGGAGGAGGAGGAGGAGAAGGTGGTGGCGGATGTGAAAGACGAGGAGGAGGAGGAGGAGGAGGAGGAGGAGGAGGAGGAGGAGGAGGAGGTGTCCGGGGACCGAGTGTAGCGAGTTTGCCCGCATCACCCCCCCTTCGTCGGTGTTCGATGCTCCTCGGGCTTGTCCGGCTCAGACCCCAAGACTCCTCGTGCCACTCCGTCTCTCTTGTTCGAGCGCCTGGCGCTCCTTCAATCAGGAGCGACAGAAGGACGTACACGTACATGAACCCGCGTTGGTTTCGAGAGTATGCATTGCGCGAAATTTCGTATCACGCGGACCCTCTCGGGGATCGAGGGGCCGCGTTCATGTACACGGTTGGGCGCGTACGTCCTTCGTGAGCTCCCTCTTCCACAGGAGCACGCGGACGGGTGCACCCCTGGCGGCGTGCCGTTGGTACGGTTGGTGCTCCCCCAGGCGGCGGACCCGATTCCTCCCCGACCGCGCTTTCACCGCCATCACCAATTCAGCCACGCGCAGAGGGGGGTAAGGGGAGGGGGAAGGGCTTCTTAGAAGCACCTCTGCCTCTTGGAAGGCGCGGGCCTTCTCTGCAGATGTAAGGCCGGCGCCTCCTGAGAAGCAGCCTCTTGCTAGGAAGCCCTCCCCCCTCCCTCCGGCCCCTGTGCGCGCCGCCAGTGCTCAGCCGATCGAGCCTCCTGACGTCTGGCTGGGAGCATTGTTTTTGTCCAAGGAACATCTTTCGGGTCGGGCGAAAGGGGGGGATTTGGAAAGGGGGGGGTACGAAATTTGCTGCATGCAGCTGGTTTCGGCCTCACCGAGGGGCCCAGTCCTCGATACATGGCCGCCTCCGGCGCCGGGAGGCGCCGGGAAAATCAGCTACGTGAGCTGATTCTCCCCCCCCCTTTGCTATCCCCCCCTTTCGCCCGACCCGAATCTTTGAGTTCGAAGAACATGTCGTGGCAGGCCTACAGGCGTGCCGGGACGGTCGGTCCCTGCTCGACATCACTCATCCAGCCTTCATCACGTCTTGGCTCCGCGGCACTGCCGTGGGAGCTTTGCCGCTCCAGCGGGGCACCCGCGGAGCGCGGCGCTGGTTGCGCTTATCCGGCGTATTGCGCGCGCGCGTGTGTGTGTGTGTGTGTGGGTGTGTGCGTGTGTGTTTGTGAGGGGGAGGCAGAGGAAGAGTGCGCGTCTCTCTCTCTCTCTCTCTGCTTCTCTCTTTCTCTCTCGTCTTGTTCTCCGTCTGTGCCTCTCCGGGCCTGCTCTTGCCCGGCGTGCGCACGCTGCTCCTCCCCGTGGCGCTCCTCTCCCTCCTGGCCTCCTCCCTCTCATCATCCTCCGCAGCCAGTTTCGACACATTGCCAACCGAACCACCCGCAGACGGTCACTCCGCGTTACTGGAACGAGCAGCTTCGTACGATGGCGCGCTTCACGATGATCGGGCTCGGGAGCGCTCTGTGCGCTTCAGCCGATTTGCAGCTGATGCAGTTTTCGTTGGACGGGTCGCAGCATGATAGGCAGATCCAGCAGCCGACGCAGGGTTGCCAGACCGCTTTCCCAGGCGACCCGTGCTACGAGAAGGTGGTGTGGGCGATGCAGAGAGGCATCTCGCAGCACCCGGACTGGTACGCTCCGTTGACACGGAGCTCGAGCTTCGAGGACTTCCAGAGGTTTCTGCACGGGCAGCCCAGGCTCGCGCACGTGTGCCCCGAGCCTTGCCCGCAACAGCATTCGAGCGGAAGGTTGTCGGCGGAGGAGTCGGCGACCGCGCCTGCCCCCTCCCAGGCGTGCCGCACCGCTGCCGAGAGCGACCCGTGCTACGAGAAGGTGGTGTGGGCGATGCAGAGAGGCATCTCGCAGCACCCGGACTGGTACGCTCCGTTGACACGGAGCTCGAGCTTCGAGGATTTCCAGAGGTTTCTGCACGGGCAGCCCAGGCTCGCGCACGTGTGCCCCGAGCCTTGCCCGCAACAGCATTCGAGCGGAAGGTCGTCGGCGGAGGAGTCGGCGACCGCGCCTGCCCCCTCCCAGGCGTGCCGCACCGCTGCCGAGAGCGACCCGTGCTACGAGAAGGTGGTGTGGGCGATGCAGAAAGGCATCTCGCAGCACCCGGACTGGTACGCTCCGTTGACACGGAACTCGAGCTTCGAGGACTTCCAGAGGTTTTTGCACATGCAGCCCAGGCTCGCGCACGTGTGCCCTGAGCCATGCTCGCAACAGCATTCGAGCGGAAGGTCGTCGGCGGAGGAGCCGGCGACCGCGCCTGCCCTTTCTCAGGCTTGCCGCACCGCTGCCGAGAGCGACCCGTGCTACGAGAAGGTGGTGTGGGCGATGCAGAGAGGCATCTCGCAGCACCCGGACTGGTACGCTCCGTTGACACGGAGCTCGAGCTTCGAGGACTTCCAGAGGTTTCTGCACGGGCAGCCCAGGCTCGCGCACGTGTGCCCCGAGCCATGCTCGCAACAGCATTCGAGCGGAAGGTCGTCGGCGGAGGAGCCGGCGACTGCGCCTGCCCCCTCTCAGGCTTGCCGCACCGCTGCCGAGAGCGACCCGTGCTACGAGAAGGTGGTGTGGGCGATGCAGAGAGGCATCTCGCAGCACCCGGACTGGTACGCTCCGTTGACACGGAGCTCGAGCTTCGAGGACTTCCAGAGGTTTCTGCACGGGCAGCCCAGGCTCGCGCACGTGTGCCCCGAGCCATGCTCCACGCAGACGCCAGAGGATCGGCTCCCAGCGCATCTGGCAACTCCGATGCCGACAGCACTCCGCGCGGGAACTCCGATGCCCACAGAAGTCCACTTAAGTGAACTGCTAGCTGCGACATATCCGGGGTTCGTGAGAAGTGGATCCAATTGCAATTGCGGAGGGTATCTCAAGGAGTTCCCGGAACAGTATTCGACCTTGGAGCTTTGCGCAGAGGAGTGCCTCCGCGTCCCAGGATGCCGGTCATTCGGTCTCCATCCTTGGCAGTCTATTTGGAACGGTCACTGCAATCTTTATGACGCGGTTTGCGACGATACGGACGGGCATGCTGCGGGAACTATTTGTACCAATCCAGTCCCATACGGAGCCATCCAGGTCAACTTTAATAACTTGGCAACTGTGATCCCAACCCCTTCGCCGACAACGGGATTCTGCGATGTCACGGACGGTTCGTCTCCCAGCACGGCCTACCCCTGCTTTTGCGGGCCTGCAACATGCGAGACCAGCGAGATTTGCTCAGTGGATTCGTGCGCGGTGCCGCAAGGGCTGACCATGGAATGGCCGTGCGAGACTGTTTCGATAGGCAGCAAGTATTTTGGTCTTCTGGGCACGAGCGTGACTGGGGCGCCAGTCTACAGTAACGTTGATGGAACGTATCTCTATTGGGATGTGTCTTGTGATGGGTACGAACGTCCAGCCGCAGATCAACGACCCCGATGGATTTTGGACAACGATGCGCCGAGCATGACATCCACCATGGACTTGGATGGTGATGGCAATTGCACCTTCTTTGGGTACCTCAACTCGGCTGAGCTGCGGGGCGTTCCCCTTGGGAACACGAGCTGGAAAGTCGCTTGCGACAGTGGAATCATCAGCGCGACTGTCAGCGTCGAGTATGCTCCAGTGATGCCGACTCCACTCCCCACGCTGGAGCCCGGGAAGCCGTGCCCATGCGAGGACTCGTGCGGCGTTTTCCCCTACGTCGACCTCGACGGAGACGGCTGCCTCCTGGAGGGGGAGATCAACGCCGTCGCGGAGTTTGCCGGGCACTTCCTCGAGATGGACGCGGACGGGGACGGCTGTGTGAACAGGACGCAGGGCCTATCTCTATCCGATCGATCCGATACGATGCAGGAGGGGAAAGACACACTTACCCAAATAATCGTCGCTCCGCAGGAAGATGTTGCAAAATATTGGAAGTGGAGGGGGAGACGAAACTCCAGAAAATGGAAAATATGGGGAACCCTGGGCTATTTATTTGTGTGCCCCTGGTGGGCCCCTTCGAGGATGTCGGTCTTGGCCAGCCCGGTCCGACTCGAGTCCGACCACAATCCGACCGATCCGGTGTGGCCCAGTTCCCGCGTGGCGTTGCTGTGCATCCTGGCGCGGCCGATCTTCGGTGGGTCGATGGTGGTCGCAGGAGGAAAAGGTAGGTACCCATACCGCTACCCTTCGCCTGTTTCCCCCTTTGGGGGCCTTCTGGGAGGCCCTCGCCGCCACCGCTGGATTCGCTTCGAAATCCTGGTCAGGACGCACCCCGGGAGAGGTCCAGAGAGCAGCGGGATCGGTACCTCTTGGTTCCCCCAGGGGCCCTCAGGGATGGAGGACCGATGGAGGACCGCAGGATGGGGCCCTCAGCATAGGAAGGTGCTTCCAGGCCGAGTTCGCATTGCCCGAGGCCTCCTCTCCCTCTAGCCTGCCCTGACTTTGGGCAGGGTGGGGCTGGGCATGCTTTACTGGCGGGGCGGGGGAGGGAAGGACCGCGCGCGCACTCGCAGCACAGCAGGGCGTCGCGAAGAAGGGGCGCGCCGTCGCGGCCGCCGCCCGCACGGGCGCGGCCGCCCCGCAGCGATTGCCTTTGCATTCCTTACGATGTTCAGCGTATGTTGTGCGGGCATACGGTGGTTGAGCAGACATTGCTGAAATCTTAGAGTGCGGTACGCTGTGGCCTTAACATGGTGTAGTCGCTGATTGGTCAGCCAGCTTCAATTTAGGGTACACGTGTCAAGGGTTGGCAGTGAGGAATCATGGTGGCGATGTTGTGATGAGGATCTAGAGAGGCCTACGATGAGAATGCATATGGCAATGCTCATGAGGGTGATGGTGATGTTTCTGATCATGAGGAGGAGGAGGAGGAGGAGGAGGAGGAGGGGGATGAGCATAAGGGCGATGCTGATGAGGATGATGCTGATGCTCGCGGCCCTAGACGGACGATGATTCTAAGGATGATGATGGTGATTGGTGATGGACGCTGAACGGGTGTTGATGGTGATAGTGATAATTGTGTTGTTGATGGTCATGAGGAGATGTGGCTTGTGCTGTTGACGATGATACTGGTGATGTTGATGGTGGTAGTGATGGCGACGGCGATGGCGAAGTTGACGGTGGCGATGATGATGACGATGCTGGTGTTGCTGTTGCCGATGCTGGTGATGATGGTGGTGGCGGTGGTAATTATGATGACGATAGGACAGAGAATGATGATGAGGATGTGGATGACGATGACTGATGCGGATGATGCTGATGCTCGCGGCCCCAGACGGACGATTATGATGAGGATTGCGGTGCTGATTGATGGTTGACGGTTGGTGATTGATGATGATGTTGCTGCTGCGGGTGATGATGATGATGATGATGATGATGATGATGATGATGATGATGATGATGATGATGATGATGATGATGATGATGATGATGCGGATGATGATGTTGATGTTGATGACGATGCCGATGGTGATGCTGATGGCGGCGCCAGAAACAGGACTGATGATGTTGCGGATGACAATGATGATGTTGGTGATGGTGATGATGATGATGATGATGATGATGATGATGATGATGATGATGATGATGATGGTGGTGGTGGTGGTGGTGATGATGAACAGCAGGCCGCCGCATGCGAAACGTGTGGCGTAACCCCACTGTTTTGCATTCGGCCTTTTAGTACGCAACATCTGGCGTTATCACCACCCGGCCGTCGTATTCCCAACCCTCTTGCGTTGTTGGACCCTTGCTTTGAACCTGCTGCGCCGCCTTCACCTCCTCCCCACCCCGCACTCGGTGCTCTCAGCCCTACTGTGCTGTGGAGCCCTCGCTTTGAACCCGCAGCGCCGCGCGTTCACTCCTCCTCCTGCCGCCTCCGCTCCTTCCCCTCTCCCGACCTCCTCTTCCCCACATGTTTCACCTCGGCACAGTCCTCCCCGGTGGGAGCTCCGCACACGGCCTCCGTGGGCAAGTTCGCATCGCGCCTCCCCGCAGCTGCCGGAGCGCCCAGCACGCGGATCTTGCCCCAAAGGGAGCTCCACCGACAGCCTTGATGGGCAAGTTCGCGCAGCCCCCCCCGCCCATCTCGGCACGCCATGCACGCAGATCGTGCCCCACAGGGAACGCTACCGACAACCTCGGCGAGCAAGGTCGCATGACGTCTCCTCGGCCCGTTTCGCTACAACCTGCGTGCGGATCGTGCCCCACTGGGAGCTTCGTGTCCCATACGGCCCAAGCGGGCAGAATCGCATGGTACCGCCCCGTTTGTTTCGACACGAACCCCATGCAGATAGTGCCCCACAGGGAGCTCCATCTGGCGGCCTGGCGCCCAAGCGGGCATGTTCAATTTGTGTCTCTCCCGGTTTCGGCACTCCCGTTCATATGGATCGTGCCCCAAAATGAACTCCACCCATTGCGGCCCCCGTAGGCAAGTTCGTATGGTGCCATACACATCTCGGCACACCCCTCGCGGACCATGCCCCGCAGGGCGCTCCGCATACGACTCAAATGGGCAAAGCAAAGTCGCACCGCGTCCCACGACTATTTCTGTACACGCATCGCACGGCTCGCGCTCCACATGGAGCTCCATTGGTGGCCACGGTGGGCAAGTTCGCATCGCCCCTCCCCCACCCCTGGCATGTCGGCACGCCTCTCACGCGGCTATTGCCCCATAAGGAGACTCACCTGCGGCGCAAGGGGGCAGGCAAGTTCATATAGCGTCCCCCCGCCCGTTTCGGCACACCCGTCAAACGGATCGTGCCTCACAGAGAACTCCACCTACGGCCCCAGTGTGCAAGCTCGCATCGCATCTCCGCGCCAGTTTCGGCACACCCCGCACGCGCATCGAGCCACACACTGACTGACTTCAGCGCGCTTCTGCGCGCTCGCTCCGCAGCCCCCATTTTCGAACTACCCGGCGGCGCGAAGTACATGAGGAGAAGGCCACACATTGCGCTGCACGCAGTTGCGTATAGCCGGCGCCGCCGACCCTGAAGGGAGACGACGACGACGAGGACGACGACGCCGACTACGACAACGACGACAACCGCGGCGAAGGCGACGACGACGTTGACGTGGGCCAGAGTCCTCAGGGATGCTTCATGGGCCCTCTTCGGAAGGCTCTCGGGGGCCCCATAGGGAGAAAATCTTGGAGTCTCTTGATAGCCCCTTGGGGGCCTCTTGGGAGCCTCTTGGGGGCCTCTTCGGGCTTCCTGGGTGCCTCTAGTGGGCCTCTTGGGGCTTGGGAACCCCTTGGGGCCTCCCGGGCTCAAAATATCCGTTCGGGTCCCCCATCTGGAAGGGTCTTGGAGCCGTCTTGGGGGCCTATTGGGTCATCTTGGAAGCGTTTCGGGCTGTCTTGGGGTCCTCTTGGGCTGTTTTGGGGCCCTCTTGGAAGCCTCTTGGATTGTCTTGGGGCGATCTTGGGAGCCTCTTCGTCCTTCTTGGAGAGGCGGGCAGCGAAGAAGGCGAGAACGCCCACAATCTTGCACAAACTGAAGGAAAATCAATGAATTCTGCTTCTGGGGGCCCTCGTCGGGAGTGCTCTTGGAGGCCTGCTGGAGCGTCTTGGATGTCTCCTGGGCAGACACGCGAAAGCGTTTGGGACCGATCGTTTGGCGATAGAGGGGGTCCTCTTGGACCGTCTCGGGGACCTCTTGGGCCACTCCGGGCCTGTCTTGATACTTTTTGCAGCCCCGGGACTCCAGGGGGGGATGCGAATCTGACCCGGGACCCCCCCCCCGGGAGATGCGTATCTTACCCGAGACCCCCCTGCCCCCCCCCCCCTCGACGGGGGAGGGATCAAAGGGAAGGGGCTCCCCTCTGATTCGATTACGACATTGCTAGTTTTTTCGCTCGTTGGCAGGCTTGAGGAGCAGGGTGCAGGGAAAGACGACGACTTGAACAGACAGACCACTCACACACGCCGACAGGTTCGGCGGATTATTTGAGGGGATTGCCAATCGATGGCGCAACCAATTGCAGGCCGGCTTCTGTTCGGTAGCGGGGGGCGCAATTTGTGGTGACATATATGGCGCACTCCATGGATGACGAAACCCATGGCGCAGCATATTGCGCAAACCATGGTTGGCGCAACCATTGGCGCAACCGATGGGGCAACCCATGGATGGCACGACCAATGGCGCAACTAATGATGCAACCCATGTGTGGCGCAACCGATGGTTCATGCAATGGATGCCGCAAGCCGTGGCGCAGCACACGGGTGATGCAACCGATGGCGCAACAGGTGGATCGCGCAAGTCACAGTACAAGCCATGTGAGGCGCAACATATAGAGCAACCCATATTGCGCAAGCCATGGTTGGCGCACTCCCAGTCCGAGTCTAGGGAACTACGCCCGATATATGCTCACCGTTTGGGCTGGCTGTGGGGTCCAAGTTGCGTCGTCGTCGTCCTCCTCCTCCTCCTCCTCCTCCTCCTCCTCCTTCTCATCGTCTTCGTCCTTTTAACCTACTCCTACTCCTCCCACTCCGTACGCCTCATCCTTCCACACCATCTGCATCCCCATACTGATCCTGATCCGCCTCATCCGTCGCCCTCCTCTTCATCACCCCCCCTCCCCATCCTCCATCTTCATCGTTTCCCTTCATCCACATTACCATCCTCGTCTTTTTCAACACTTCCCTTCTCGTCCTCGTCCTCCCCCTGCTCCCCTCCCTGCCTCTCATCCTCTGCCTCTCTCTCTCTCACTCCCCCCTCCGCCCTCTGCCCCTTCCAGCTGTCGTCGTCGTCCTCCTCCTTGTCCTTGACCACACCATCCCCATCTTCCCTAACCTCATCATCCCCCATCCCCCTCGTCCCCATCCTCATTTCCCCCCTCCCTGCCCCGTCGTCGTCGTCGTCGTCGTCGTCGTCGTCGTCGTCGTCGTCGTCGTCGTTGTCGTCGTCGTCCAGAACACAGGTATCCAGGGCGACCAGAGCGTCACAAACTGCTGTTTTGTGGCCGCGAGGGGCATCGTCCGTCGTCATTTACGTAGTCGTCCGTCGTCGCCGTCGCCGTCGCCGTCGTCGTCGTCGTCGTCGTCGTCGTCGTCGTCGTCGTCGTCGTCGTCGTCGTCCTCCGTCGTCGTCGTCGTCGTCGTCGTCGTCGTCGTCGTCGTCGTCGTCGTCGTCGTGGGTGAGGCGGATCATAGGGACGACGTCGCCAACCATCAGGATGATGAGGAGGCGGGTGAAGAAGGAGGAGCAGGCGGCGGGATGAGGAGGCCACAGGAGGAGAGGGCAGGCCGAGGAGGAGGGAGGAGGAAGAGAAACATCGGGAGGAGGCGGAGGAGGTTTGGGGAGGATGCAGGGGGGGGGGGCAGCAGGCAGAAGGGGGGGGCACTCGCCGGGCGAGGGGGCCCCCCGCGGCGCTCGTGGGCGCTGGCCGTGCGGGCGTGCGGCACGACGCTGCCGGTCGGCTGAAACCGAGCTCCACAATCACACCTCCTCCTCCGCCTCCTCCTCCTCCTCATTCCTCCTCCTCCTCCTCCTCCTCCTCATTATTCCTCCTCCTCCTCCTCCTCCTCCTCCTCCTTCTCCTCCTCCTCCGCCTCCTCCTCCTCCTATTTGCCTCCTCCTCCTCCTTCTCCTCCTCCTCCGCCTCCGCCTCCGCCTCCTCTCCTCACAGGTCGGCCTTGACGGCCACAGCTTGACCCGAGCTCCAAATTTATGCCTCATCGCCGCCGGCGGCGTCGTCGTCGTGCCCAGCATCCGCCTCACCCACGGCGACGACGACGGACGATGACGACGACGACGATGACGATGGCGGCCGACGACGACGGACAAGGACGACGGATGACGAACGACAGACGCCGGACGACGACAACAGCGACGACGACGACGGGCGACGACGACCACGACGGGCGACGACGACCACGACGACGACGACGACAAACAGCGAAGAGGAGGTCGACTACAACGGCCGCCGACGACGACGACGACGACTACCGTCGATGACGACGACGATCACGACGACCACGACGGACGACTACGACGAACGACCACGACGACGACGACCGACGACGATGACGACGACGGCGGCGACGACGACGACGACGACGGACGACGACGGGTGACGACAACGACCACGACGTGGACGACGGATGACGGACGACGACGACGACGATGACGACGTCGACGGCAAAAGCGACGACGATGTCGAAAACCGACCACGCGTCTCGTCATTACCACCCCGTCCCTCACACTGCCATTATCGATTTTAATCCTCATTCACATCTTCGCCATCGCCCCCCCGTCCGCCTCCCTCTCCTCCTCCGCCCCCCAGGCGAGAACTTGTGAGGAGTGTGCCGAGACAGACATGCGGATAAGTGTGCCCCTCCTCCTCCTCCTCCTCCTCCTCCTCCTCCTCCTCCTCCTCCTCCTCCTCCTCCTCCTCCCCCCTCCGCCCTCTCGATTCGCGACCCTCCTCCATGCCTGGCAAGCCCGCGATCGCCGCGCCGCGCTCCAGCCGCGCCCCCTGGGCCGCGGGCGGTCTCCCCCGCTTGGCTCGAAACGCGTCAACATGGCATCCTTATCGTGCGTCCTTGCTCTGCGGGTTGACTGTGAGTGTGCCCCGTGCCGCCGCCCCAGCCCGGCCCGGCGCGCGGGCTGGGCCCTCGGGCGGCCGGCCGGTGAGCGCCGCCGCAGGACGGAGTGCGCCCTGTCGCCGCACTCCGCGGACCTGCCCAGGCCGGGCGGGGCCAGTCAGCGTCACGCGCCCTGCTCTTGCTCCTGCACTGATCCTCCTCCACCTCCTCCTCC